AGACAAGCCTCTACTAATAGTAAACTTGTAAAGAGAGTTGACAAAAACCTCCTTTGTGTTGGATACAGTCCATGTGAAAATGTTTGTAGTCCCTGAATTATTAGCAACCTTACATGAAGAAAGGAAGTGCATAAGCTTTTGCATATCCACTGTTTGGCGCTCATGAATTGGTCCTCTTAAAAGAGGGTGACAGACCCAAATTCCATTACGAAAAAAGCCCTGACAATGGACTTTAATACTTGGGGTCAAGGCTAGAGAGAAAGCATGAGGGAGAGACTCTTGAGAGTATTATCTCCAGACCACTTATCCTCCCAGAACCTGACTAAGTAACCATCACGCAACTTCCATCTGATACAATTAACCAATAGTTCCTTAATTAAAGCAATATTTTTCAAAAATAAAGAATTAACTGAACTTTGTGGGGTTGTTTTGAATAGTGTGAATTATGCGTTTATAGAGAGTGGAGAGAAATTATCCAGCAAAAAATACTTTTTAATGGCATGTCATAGCCATTAATATTAGAGAGAGTTATTAAGGCATTTCAGGTCAATAGCACCCAGCCCTCCTCTTTTTTGGACATGCAGATCACTCTCCAATTGACCAGACATTTCATTGGTTTGTTATCTGAAGCCCCTCCCCATAGAAATTTTTTCTTCACTCTATCAATCTCCTTAACCAACCAATCAGGTAGTTTGTAGAAAGACATGTGGTACAAAGGTAAGGATGAAAGCACAGCATCTACTAGAGTGAGACGACCACCAATAGAGAGATTTTTACCCTTCCACTAAGATACTTTAGTTTTTATCTTCTCTATTAGAGATTGCTAGTTAGACCTGTTCAGTTTCCCACGTCTTAAAGGCGATCCAAGGTAATTGAAAAGTAAAGTTTCTTGCTTACAGTTGAGAGCAGATGTCAATCTATCGCCTCTGTTGCTCACTTTTCCAAAATAAATTTAGGAAGTTTTAGCATAATTAATCCTCAGACGAGTGATATTCTCAAAGATGATAATTGTGAGAGTGTGAAGGGTTTCTGCTAACTGATTTGAAAATTATTATTGCGACTCTTGATTTCAGGGATGTAACTAAATGAGCTCGAAAATTATTATTGCGACTCTTGATTTCACTCTATCAATCTCCTTAACCAACCGAATCAAAGGAGCTCGACTGAACCCAACAAAGGTTTTAGTAAGACAAGACATCTCAACAATTTCAATAAACCGTAAACCATTTTGCAACTCGGTTATAATTATAAATAAATGAAATTAATAAAAGAAACAATCAAAATATTTGACACATACGGTGCGCATGCATCTCACACAGTATCATTAGGGTGCCAAACCGTATCTGTATCCGAGGAAATATCAGCAACCGTTTCCGTTAGGATACAGATATGGTTACTCAAATCTATAACCGATAGGATATGGTTACGGATATGGTTTTGTAGTGAAACATCCGTATCCGTATCCGAAAATATCCGAATACATATTGGTCATACTCTTACAATAGTTTCGATTTTTAGATTATGGATTTGTGGTTAATTTTGATGATCAATATGTCTAATCTTAGCTTTTCAATCATAATGAACATATTAACGATTTTTTTTTTGTATCACATGACTATATTTTTCTGAATACTATCTAGTTTTCTCATATCTTTTTTGTATCTGCATGCATATCTGTTTATATATCCGCATCTATATCCGTAACCGTATCTGATTTTGGCGGATATGGATATGAATTTTTCTTACCGACGTATATCCGTATCCATATCCGTATTCGAGATGGATAAGCGGATATGGATATGATAAGTGTCATATCCGAGCCGTATCCGCTCCGTTAACACCCCTAAGTATCATCATATAACTACCACATTTTCATTTTCGCCGGTCATCACATGTCCTTTTTGCTAGTCTACCACAGAGCTTTGAGGTTCTGGGGTCTTTCCCCCATTGAACGACTGGCCCAGTAAAAGTTAAGCCCATTTCATTTCCAAACTATCTTCTAAAACCGAAAAATAGCAGAAGACGAGCGCAAGCATACCCTTTTTTTTTCCTTCCTCAGTAATTAGTTAATAACAAAATAACTATTTAAGATGATTGTAATCTCACCCACGCGCGCGCTCGCACACCCCCACCTCAGTTCACAATGAGTAATCACCATCTCAGTTGAGATTGGCCTTAGATATTGAAAGGCCCAAAGCAGCCCATCAGAATTTTACAATATCAAACAACTAATATAGAGAAATGATATCATGGAAACCAACTACTAATACTAATGCTATCTAGTAAGTTTAAATCACAACCGCGCCACACAACAACAAGTTCTCCCAAAAAAGAAGCACAAGACTAAACATAATAAATTTTGGAAATACAAGAAGGGAGCTCTCTCCTCTTTGCTCTTGTCAAAATGGGGAAATTAATTAACAAATCTTCACGTCTCCAATGAGGAGAGAGAGCTCTCCCTTCATTTCCTCCACGCCCCCAGTGTCACAAGAGGACTTGTATGTATAACAAGGGAGAGGAAAGACCGAAAGAGAATGCGTATTCAAAAGAATTTCTAAAGCGTTGGGTGGTTTTAATTTTCTGAAAAGGGGCTTAAAAGTTGTGGGCTGCTTCTCCTTTTATCGAATTGAAGCAAGCTGCAAATAGGCTTGGGCCTTGTTTCTCAAAGAGAGAGACACGTACAGGCCTTATGCAGTGAAAGGTTTGTGAGCAGGGCAGTTAAAATGGTCCGCGAACGATACTGGGGGTAGCCAGGAGTATTTTTCGTTGGAGTTGTAACTTAAAACTTAACTTTGTAGTGGGAAAGTTTAGTCTCATATTGTAAAGGAGATGAGAAGATAGGTTGTTTATAAGCCTTCTCTTTCTCTCATATACTTAGAAGGAAATATGGGTTAGCTCCACACCACAAGCGCGCGCGCCGAACCGAGCCTGGCCACCCTTAACCTGGTACATTTTGAATCTTTGTTTTTTGCTACTCGAAAGACGATATTAGTCGAAACGAACTAACGAGATGACAGGACGAGTCGACACCCTCTGGTCGACACGAAAGGCGGTGTTAGTCGACACGAATGAACGAATGAGACAACATGACGAGTCGACACCCTCTGGTCAACACGAAATGCGGTATGAGTCGACACCTCGAGGGTTCGGAGTCGGGGCTAACCATTAATGGGCAAGATTGGTGGATCTAAACGGGTGTGAGATTTTTGGATCTAAACAGGCGATAATTGTGGATCTAAACAGCGCTAATCGTGGATCTAAACAGGCGATAATTGTGGATCTAAACGGCGCTAATCGTGTATCTAAACGGGCGATAATTGTGGATCTTAACAGCGATTTTAATCTTATATAAGGACCTATAGCTGCGAGGGCTAAAACATAAATAATAACAAACCCTATTCTCTTCTTATTCTCTTTTCGAAAATATCTTTCTGCTGTTACACCTTTCGCTAGTTCCCTGAAAGTCTTGAAGAGTTCGCAAAGATTTCTTGAAGCTCGTACCGACTAGAAGGAGGTCGCCTGACCGAGGGTCGTCGTATCTCCGAGACCTATTGCCGCGTAGCACTGTACGAGAGGGGGCAATTAGATTCTTGGGACAGTGCTTTGCACGCTTCGATCATCATGTCGTATTACTAAACTTTACTTATTTTATTTTGAATCAATTTCATTTCTGTGCTATAATTTTAATCTGCCATTGTCTGGATTTTATTAACTGTTCAAATCTGATTATTGTATTAAATTCGGTCTAAACATCAACCTTTTTCTTAACATTTTTTGTCCTGAGCGAAAAATAAAGGTGGTCTAAAAATAATTTATATCTAACTCAAGAATCAAGATTGCATCTTTATCTAACTCATTTCATCAGGATCACTTTCAGTGTTATCTCTCGCTATTTATCCGCTTCTCATTCTATTCTCATCAGAGGAGGTGATAATTTCAATTTCTTAATTTTTTTTTTCTTATGAAATTATCTACTTTTGATGCGAATAAAATTGAATCATGATCTTTTCATTAACCTTTCCTTTGATTCGGTGAAGTTTTCTGTATGGGTGTTTGTTTTTTCAGCTGCACGTAGTTAGTTGGGGGATAATTATAAGTTTTTTCTTATATGGATATTGGCTAATTTCTCTCAGTGTATTAATAATCAGGTGATCTGTACAGAGGCAGCTCAGCTAACTTGTAAAGTGGGAAAAAATTTAGGAAGCTTTGAGAAAAATGGAGATGCGGGGTATCGATCCCCGTACCTCTCGCATGCTAAGCGAGCGCTCTACCATCTGAGCTACATCCCCGTATTGGTGGGATCGTGTTGTTTCTTTTAATAATGATCGAATAAAAATTACCCATTGCTCTACCCTGTGTCCTTCAAGATTGCAATCACGTTTTGTGTCATACAGGCTGGCATTTTTGTGAAAATAATCCCCTTAACATTCTCAATAGCAACAACTTTTATTCCCCCATCAATTGGTTCCTACTTGATGGAATAAAAGGTCTATAATTGCATGCGATTTCAAGAAGAGTGCTTATGTAACTTTTTTGCATGAACAAATTTTCAAATCAAACCCATTTCAAATTTTTTTTATTTAAACCGACCCATTTTTTTTATTTATCAAAACTGACCCGATTTTGTAATTAGCAGCTTAATCACCATCCTAAACAGTCGGGGTTGCCAACCCCGACTATTTAGGAATGTGTTAAACCTAATTAGAAGCCTTAAACCCTAAAAATTAATGTCCTAAATAGTCGGGGTTGCCAACCCCGACTGCTTAGGAAGGTGATTAAGTAGCTAATTACAAAATCGGGTCGGTTTTGGTTAAAAAAAAGGGTCGGTTTAAAAAAAAATGGGAATGGGTCTGTTATGAAAAATTCTTCTTTTTTGCATCATAATGTCCAAGAAGGTTTCTTCATCATCAACTTTCCAAAAAAAAAAAAAAAAAATTTAATAAGAAACTTTTTATCCTATCAAGATATGCAACAGTTAATTGCTTCGAGCTCTCATGATGTGATAGAACACCCACAAAGATCTCGTTATAAGTCTTCATAGTATGATTACACTTCAACAGATCGATATACAATTACAATTAATGTGATACGTAAGAGTTGCGCAAACATATATAACAACATGTGCAGCTTATTTCTTGATGGAAATCAATTGCGCTCCTCCTCTTCAAAGGATGATGACTTCAATTCGTTATATTGGCGGGTAACTCTAGTCAAAAAAATGTTAGCTCACCTCTGCCAACCTCAAATTAACAATCTTCCTCGAAACCAACTCAAGAGAACTGCAGACGGCTCGAGAATGTCTGGCCAAATCCCCAATTCGACGGAACGATGTCAGGGAAAACTTGGGTTTCTCCGTCGCCAGTGGTGACGCGGAACGATAAAGATTGACCGTTAAGATGAGCGTTTGATTGCCAATTCGCTCCCCAGTTTCTCGACATCGACATCCAGCCAGTGCTTGATCCTTTGATGTCCATGGACTGGACTGATCCGCTGCCCCCCACATTCGTTACGAGGACAAGCTCAAAGTACTCACGTCCGTTGATAGTGAACCTCACGCCACCGTGCTTCTTGCATGGAACCCTGTAACATCAAGAGGGTATTAATTAGTCCTCTTCAATGTACCAGTAAAAATATTAATATTTGAGAGTCAAGAAGAGCATTTTCACGACGGAAGCATGGATTGTTTTACACGATGGTATTTTATATACAGAAGCTGCTTCTAACG